AAGAGATAGTGGTTGCTGTGTTTTTGGACAGAGAGAAAGCGTATGACATGTTGTGGAAAGAAGGCCTGCTAATCAAACTGGATCAGTTGGGAGTGGGAGGGAAGATATATAACTGGGTGTTGGGCTTCCTGTTTGGGAGGACGATAGAGGTCAGAGTAGGGAAAGAGTACTCACCAGTATATATGGTTGGAAATGGAACGCCACAGGGGAGTGTATGCAGTCCAATATTCTTTAACTGTATGATTAATGACATCTTTGAGGAGGTGGGGGGAGGAATAAGTAAATCATTATTTGCTGATGATGGGGCATTACACTCCAGTCCGGTAGGTGGCGGCAATGCACCTATAAGCTGGATGCCAGCCGCCAATCAAATCTAAAAGAAGAAGAAGATGTGTATTCCCTCTCATCCTACAGGGGGCGACACAGAGACATCTGCTCCTCAGCTACACCAACAAACTGAACAAGAGGAACACATTTAGACGTTTTGGAGGCAACAAAACAAACAACGTTAGTTCAAAAGTTGTGTTTCAAACTCTGCTGCTGCATATAGTTCTATATTTCTATCCACAGTTGAATAAAAGTGTCGTTATATATATTATATTCTATATATTCAGCTACATGGAGACTAAAGCGGCTGCTGTGCTGAATGCGGTTCCTCCTTACGGACACCTTATTGCCAGCGAGAAGTGGACAAACTCGTCACTAATTCAAAGATTAAAAGCTAATTAAGTGTTTTATTGAGACACTAAAATCACAGCCTCTCTGTGTGTAACCTTAGCTAGCGTTTGGGTCATTTTGTTTCCATGGAGACAACTCATTTGTGCCAGAGCCCATTCAAAAAATAGCGATTTCTAAGTTTGTTTCTCTTCAGAGCAAATAAATAAATCTTGTAGGAATATAAATGTAGACCTTTTCTGTTCAACAAGTTCCAGTCTATAATTCGGCATAGTTGTGATTGTGAAATTGTGCTTATTAATTCTAATATAAAGACAAGTTGTGAAGTGAGTCCACGCTGCTCACCGGGGCTGTCCACAGGGCGTACTCTTTAATAACTGTGGGACATTAGAGATTTTACAGCAGGAAGCGCTGCTCACTGGATATTATTGGAGCCGATATGAAGGGTGAACACTAAAGAGCCACAATAGTCTTCTGAGTTACAAGTTAACATTTAATATGATTGTCTTATGACCATTGGATTAGTATTTAACAAGATTTCTGAATGGAGTTCTGCGTGATAGACAGCCACCCACCAAACATGTTTCAATATTTTCTGCTTTTCTTATTCTTCAGTGATATCATAGTAAATATGTTTTGTGTTTTGGACTGTGATTTTGAATATGTCAGCATTTGTGACATTTTATGGATCAAATGATTAATGGATAAAGTAATTAGAGAATGAAAATAATAGTTCCACAGCTTTTGTTCCAGGCTTGTGCTTGGTACTGTACTGTACTACTTTATGTGGCCTCCGCTGTGTGATCAGGACTTTTGAAGTCTCCATGGAAAGAAAATGTTGTCACTAACAAGCTCTACTGCTGCCGCAGGTGGAGGCGTGAAGATCCTGTTTGAGAAGGAGCTCGGTGTGGCAGATTTCCACCTGCCCAACAAAAGCTGCATCCTCTACGTGTCTGAGTGCGACATCATTGCAGGGAACAGCTACAAGAGGAAACTGGTTGGCTACAGAAACGTGAGTTTAATGAGACCGCTGACGAAGCAGTTTGGCTGAACGCCTCTGACGTGATCTGTGTCCGTCCTGTTTTACAGAGCAGCAGTAGTTTCCAGGAGCTGGTGCTGGTGGAGAACACCAGACTCAGTGAGCAGTACTTCTCCGCTGTGCACAAGTTTGTGGTGTTTGACCTCGGCCTGACTCTGCTGCCGGTCAGCGGGCAGACTGAAGCCTCACAGCTCATCACTCAGATTGTAAGGAGTGAAAAACAATAAAGCTGCACTTCTCTTTTTTGTCTTAATATCCTTACTCCACATCACAGAAATGTCCAGTATGTTCTTTGAAATCTATGAGTTGATTAAAGCGTGAGTGGATGGGAAGATCAGTGTTAGATCTTAGTATCAGGGGATTGTTGCAGCACAGAGCTTTTCTCTTGTATCACAGGAAGTCACTTACCAGCGCACAAGAGTCAAACACAGACCTTTGGGGTAAAACTGAGCTGTCTTACTGAAACCTCTTGTAGCAGGACACTTTGTTGTCTGCTGCTAGTTCTCCAACCTGCTCTAATTGTCTCCAGGTTCACGGTGGGGGGGGCAGGGAGAACCCCTTCAGGAGGAGGACTCGGTCTCAGCTGTTGGACCCGCTGATCCTGGCTCTGGTCCAGCAGGTCCCCGGGGTCGGCAGGGTCAAAGCTCTGGCCCTGCTGCAGCACTTCTCCAGCATCCAGAAGCTCTGCAACGCCGCCCCCGCCCAGCTGGAGCCCATCGTGGGTCACGCTGCAGCTCAACAAATCCACAAGTTCTTCCACAAAGCCACTGCTGCTGGAACCTGAAGGTCCGACTCTGCACATCAACCGAGGAAAGTTTGGATTGAATCATAATGCAGAAAGCTTCAGCCTCACATGGACACTAACTCTTTATTTGAAAGACTGCAATGGCAGAAAAATCCAACATTGCTCGTGTTTTAAACTGGAAGAAACAATTATTTTCTTTGTTTGTTTGTTTGTTTGTTTGACTGTTGAGGACCAACACTGCCGTCCACAGAGCCCCGCTGGTAACAGGGCTGAAAATACTTGGAAACTGATTTAGGTTTGGTGATTGGGCCGCTGAGTTCTCTGCCCTGTGTGCTTTTCTGTTTCTATTTTAGTTTGCACTTTTGCTTCCACAATAAATAAATATTTGTAGCATCAGTTGTCTCTTTTGAATCACTGTTGATGTTCTTGTTGTTGTTTATGAGTTTGAATCCAAAAGATAAAGCTCTCACTGCATTTGAGTTCTTTTCCCTCTTGTTTTCTTCTTAGTTTGGGTTCCATTGATTTAAACTTAGATATACATCGAGTTTGTGAATAAAAATGTTGTCAAATTAAACCTACATTTGTCAGCACAATGTTGAAGTACAATACTTTTGACTTTGTACCAATCAGACGTAGATCTCATTATTGTGCATTCATGTAATGTGCTTCAGCATCAGACTGTAGTTATTTATTAAGAGCATGTCCT